TTTCTGCAATTCAGGATCGTCCCCTAACCCAGTACCTTCTAGAACATTCGCGCCTATTACATAACCTCCTCATATAAATGCTGCGTCATAAGTTTTTCTACATTTTTCTAGAAGCTACTCTGTTACATAACCTTTCATATAAATGCTGCGTCATAAGTTCTCCTACACAGATGCCCCTTCGTTCTGCTAACGCTTCCGCTATGCTCCTCTTTATTTGTTAGAACGTTATGACGTATTAAAGTTTAAAGTCAGTCGTATCTAATAGTTCAATTAATGAATAAATTATTTGATTAACTTCATCTGGAAAAAGTCATCTGCTATAAATTAAAATAAAGATAGGCTTGCTGTTAAAAGTGAAAAGTCCTGAGTCGTCATTTCTCTCCGTGCTTCAATCATCTGCCAGAACGTGTAATGGAATAGCCTCACCACTCGCTCACGATGTGTTGGAATAACTGAGAACATTACATATATATGAATATATAATGATGCTAATATTTCGATTCTTTTCTTAAGTAAAAGTAGTTACTTCTGTTGTTGAGTGATGACTAAATTGTTACGGTAAATAATGTATTGAATTTCCTTTAAAAAGAGGACTTTGTGACGTTTTAGCTTTAACGTCACAAGTCCTTTCAAAACAAAAAACGTTAAAAGTTATAAGCTTAAAAATATAAAAACTTAGAAAACATATAGCAGCTTGAGTCACATAAAATAAAAGGATAGAAGAATCGATTGCTATCTATACGTTAGCTGTGAGATTTTAATCATCACCATTTGATTTTATCTTGGCTGCATATGATGGTAAGCAGAAGTAAAGTTAGAAATTTTCAGTCGATATATTGTAGGATTTAGAAATACATTTATTTTTCCCTTTAGTCCTACAAAATACCACTTGTTTAAAGCAATGAAGATAAATGTTATTTGAAATATTCTACTTTTTTTAAGCTCAAGAAGAACTGGTAATAATTTATAATTCTTCCTTCTTCCCTATTTATCTTACTACTATCTTGTATTTTTAAGTTCCTTTTTTACTGCATGATCACTTAGAAGATGTTTAAAGATGTTTAGCGTATCAAAATACTAATCACATAGTTAGCGATTATAGGATTGTGCGGTGGCAATGAGATTATTGCATATTTCTATCGTTTATGATAATTTTAATGGAATTTTGGAGTACTGAATAGCTTAATGAGAACATTTAAATTCGTTTCTGTCCCGCGCTTTAAGACAAATAATTCTGTGGGATAGAGATCTAGGTCCTTTTAAGTTAAAATGTAACGTAGATCCTTCGCTACTTGTGGAACAGAAATTTGAGAACAATGGTTAATTTTCCAGTGCAGGGATATTTGGTAATGAAAAAGGCCGTTCAATTGTTTCCGAGGAAATCAGCTGATTTCTTGATTCGAAGAAACTGTTTGGCCCTCACAAGGTCAAAATTGTTATTTCAAGAAACGTATTAATTTCTGAAGAAATCCTGGATTCTAGGATTTAAACTGGCATTCCGCTGTTATTTTTAAACAGTACTTATTAATTATCTCAAAGGACCTCTGGAATATCTCAGTGAACCTCAATGAAAGTGAACAAGAAAAACTGAAAAAAATAATTTCTTTTCATGCGATCATAACTGCACGATTAGAAGTTTTCAGGAAAGAATGGAACCATTTTATTAAAGACATTACTAAAGTACTAAAAATATTACTAAAGCCACTTTATATAAGTTTTCAAATGGAAATTCTAAAAGATAGATTGGGGAGGAAAAAACGTCTTGTCGTATATATAAGTAAATATTTAAATTATTTTCATTGCAGTGCATTAATTTACTTGGTTGCATGTATATTTGATTCTCTTAGAATTTGTTTTGCATTTGTGCCTCATGTTTTGAATATAAATAGATGATTTATACATGAAATTTTTAGTCTTTAAATTTTTGGTGTGACAACGCTTAAATTGTAAAACAAATAGCTCAAGCAGAAAGCTAGATAGAGCAAATACTCTGCTCACTGGTCTTGTCAACCGATTCTTTTCAAAGTTTGTTAAAATGTATGTTGTTCTAGGGCCATGATCGCCCGCGACCTTAAATAAGCTTCTAGACGAGGGCCATGGAATGCGAATACGTGAAAAGATGAGACACTTCGACCATAGTCAATTGCAGAATCTTCAAGTGTGTGACGGAGATCCGATCCTATCAGAGGGCAGAAGACTTCGTTTAGACGCTTGTTTCTCAGAACCGCGTTTATACAGTGTAACGCGATCAAAGGCCTAGAATAACATACATTTTAACAAACTTCGAAAAGAATTTGTTGTCAAAACCAGTGAGCAGAGTATTTGCTCTATCTAGCTTTCTGCTTGAACTATTTGCTTTACAATTTAAAGGTTGTCACACTAAAAACTTAAAGACTAAAATTTTCATCTATAAGTCATTTATTTATATTCAAAACATGTGGCACAAATACAAAACAAAGTCTAAGAGAAACAAGCAACCAAGTAAATCGATGCACAATAATAGACAATGCAATGAAAATAATTTAAATATTTACTTATATATACTAAATTAATTTTTACCTCCTCAAACTATCTTTTAGAATTTCCATTCGAAAACTTATATAAGGTAGCTTTAGTAATATGTTTAGTATTTTAATAATGTCTTTAGTAATATGGTTCCCGAAATTCGATCCTGAAAACTTCTAATCGTGAACTTATGATCGCATAAAAAGAAATTATTTTTTGTTTTTATTATTAATCCAGACATGAAACATTTTTCTTATTATAAAAATTAAAATTCTCCATAATTTGAATAAAATAATTTATGTGACCATCTACTTTTCTTTCAATTCGGAGACTTACATTTTTTGATTCATTCCTCAAGAAGTTGAACTCAAAACGATAAGTAAATATTCAAAAGTTAATTAGGAAATTAAAAATTGCTTGATAGTTGCATATTCATATAAATCAGGTGAATTTTGATTCCATTTCACAATTTATACTTTTTTCAGTACAAAGAAAAATTTATTAAGTCATAAAACGTTTCAAATTCCATTGTAGAACACTAGGCGTAGAGGCTCAAAAATGGTACGTGATAATGTGATAAAGAGGCGTAGATGCTCTGTATTTTCCATGTAATTTGAATTTGCATTAATGTCTGCTGAGTTTTATTTAAATCACTTAGAATGCAATATATGGTAATATTTTTAATTGAAAGTTCAGAAACAGTTTAAAATTAGTATAGCAGCATATTATTTTACTGCAAAATAAAAATAGTACCTATAGTGCAAATATTTATTTGAGTTCCTTATGAAAAGATTTTGCGTGCCGTGTAGTTAGAATGAGCTGAAGATCAAAGACTGGTTAATTGCATTTTAATTAATTTTTAATATTTTAACTATTTTTCTATTCAAACATTATTTACTGAACATGATTTCAACGATTCAGAAACATATAAGTTTAGGCATTAAAGGGCAACCAAAAGGGAAATGCAAATCTGCAACTGAAATACCGATATTCAGTTGACAACATTTTTCGTAACAACCATAATTTAAAACATTTACAACTTGAAGGAAAACTAATTAATGGTAACATTTTATTGCTTCTTATACACATAGTAATAGGCTTTAAGACTTACCAGAATGCGATTTTTTTGTCAAAACTAATTCGGTTCCTGGTCTGAATATTTGCTTTAAATGATTTTATAGAATTTAAATATGTGAAATATAAGTGAATTGCATTACTTGCAACCAAACAGGAAATTCGTTAAAATTAAATAAAACTAAAATTTCATTAAGCTAAAGGTAAACTTGATTTGAACTAGTGATTTGTACATTCTGAGTTCGCTATAGTTATATTTTAGAAGGTACTGAAATTTATACCAACTTGTATGAGTATTTTAAATAAAGTACTATATTTACTCGCATGTTTTTCACCCTTTGTTTTATTACCGTTATCGTAAGAAAATCAAATGAGAAAAATTATATGAATAAATTTATTTCCGTAGAATAAATAAATAATAATAAAAATAAATAATAAATAAAATAAATAAATAAAAGATAATAGATAAGAATAACATAAATACTAGAATAAATTCCGTAGATTAAATTCCGTAGAATCCGTAGAATTATAGTACGAATAAAATAAATTAAAGAATTCATTAATAAACTACCACTAACTGCCGCAATATTATTTCTTTAAAAGAAACATCCTTCCAGTAGGAATGCATAATAATATTAACATTAGAAAGTTTAAGTTCTCTTCATTTCTACTACTCTTATCTTATCCGCACTTATTGCTATTCACTGTTGATGTCTAGCCTCATTTTTTAATGCTCATTTTTTAATGCCTCATTTTTTAATCCCCTTCATCCCCGTCGCCTTTCAGTCTCTTTCCTGAAGTGTAATAATTTTCAGAACCATCCAGAGCATGATATATTTTTTTTCTTGAAACAATTCGCTGTTATTACTTTATCAGTTATAGTCAATGCACCCAAATTATGCTCACTAGCAAATCAGCTGGAAACAATTATATCACAGACAAATACATTTTAAAATTTTAGTAAGCTCACTTTCTGAACGTCTTGAGAAAGAGGAAAATTAAATGAATAAAATTTTCAGAACCTTGCGCTAAAATCTTAGAGAAAGGTACGCTAGGGGCAAATGCGCCAGTAAATAATGCGCTTCAAAAAAGGTTAAACATGTGAAACATAATATTATGAAATTTGTTTTACATCTGGTGTTTGAATATTTTATTAAAATTCGTGTATTCATATTCTTTTAATTTAGAATTATTACGCATTAGTTACCTGTGGTCGATTTGTAAATAATATAAATATTTCTTAAATCGCAATAATATTTAGCAATAAATTGGACATCTTGTTCTCCAAAGAGTCCAAATAAATTTTTATTTCATTCAGAATAATGGATATAAAACTAATTTTATTTTTAAGCCGAAACTCTTCATTTTCATTGTAACAGTGTTTTAGAACTGAGAAGAAAAAGAGTTAATAAAATTCTTACTTAAAATCATGATAAACCATCTTTTGAATAAGGTCTCTAAGGGCTCGTACGAAATCTTCATGTCCACCTAACTTGGTAGTGACCACTGCGAAGGAATGCCAAGAGTACCTTCTCAGTATACTAAGCATAGCTTCAGCTTGGTGCTCAACAGATGGAGCCATTTGCAAAACCTTTGAGTTTGTCACTCTCTGTAAAGAAAAATAAATCCAAAAATGTGATAAATACATGAAGTCTTTCATTTAAAGAATTAGAATGAGCATATTTGCAAAACAATACGAAATGTGATTGAGATCAGACTTTCTCTGTCCTGTGTTAAGATGAAAGGGGAGAAATCTGCATCCATACACGTGCAGTCTCCTTTATATAATATTCATATTATTTACCAAGAATGACTATTTTATCATAATTGTTGAAAAAATATAAACGGTTGGTTGATAATGAATCATATTGCATGCTGTATTATGTTAATATTTAAATAATTGATTTATGTCCCATTTTAAAAAATGTGGACTAAGGCTGCAAAGAAAAACCTATATGTTATTAAAAACTAATGGCATCGCAAAATCCCTTTAAATTTTACATCATTGAACAAAGTAATGGAAGTATTGTAATCGCGATTTCGGGTATCATAGTTCAACGAAAATATGCATTTTGATTGCTCCATTCAAACAATGTTGATCTTAATACAACCTTTCATCGCTGAAAACTTTTGCACTGTTTTTACTTCCTCGTACGAAGTAAAGAAAATATTGCAATCAGAAAAAAATCCGGGCACCATATTTGAACGAAAATATGCTTCTGACCGCTATCGAATGCAATTTAACGAGGTATTTGCGTGACATCTGTACGTAAGGACAGAATAAAGGACTGTTTTTCCCCCACGGATTGAAAAATGGATTCAGAAGAGATTTTTCTCGTGACGTCTGTACGTACTTATGTATGTATCTCGCATTACTCAAAAACGACTAGCCTCAGAATGTTGAAATTTTGTATATGGGTGTGCTATAATATTTAGTTATGCACCTCCTTTTTTGGTTGCAATCGGCAGCACCGATTGTGCATTTTTTGCTTGAAAAGTGATTTACTTCTTAATCGGTTAAGGTTTTATGTCTTTAGTTAATCTGCATACAATAATGTAGAATTATCAAGAATTTAAAAGTTGTTGATAATTCTGAAAGTCTTGCTAAGCCTAATGCGAAAGCCATTTGTTTACACTTGAAAACTCTTAGAAGATATTGAAATATATAACTTTCTTCACCTTCAATGTCTTTTTGCCGAGCGGTACAGAAAGTAAACATTCAGTTTTGCTCCCCGAAAAATCTGTCTTCTTGTCCGCTAAGCAAATTGCGTGTTTTTGCGTGAAAACTCTAATTGTGAAAATTATTTTTTTAAACTCTTTTTAACTGTATTTGGCCTTTTACGCGTTCCTGTATTTTACAACTTTTATTAAACTTGTTTCGAGTTTTGTGTATTTTTGCCTTACCGCGAAGCGAACTGAATTGATTGAATGAGAAATATATCCCTAGTAAAATTCGAAAAAATAAATTTAAATGAAATGCAGCCAAAATATGTATAACTTAATAGGACTACAGGGAAGTCATATGGTGTCATCAGATTTTTACTTCCTATTATCAAAGCTTTATGCATGTTTTTCCATCCTTATTATCAAAGCTTTATGCATGTTTTTCCATTTATGTAAGTAAAATGTAGATAGAATGTTTCGGATTGGTTAAATTAAATGATTAAATTAAAGCATGTGAATGTTTCTTACAGAAGGGGTTCTTTTATAGAGTACTCTGTAAGGGAAACTAAACTCTAGCCCATAAAGTCAGTCCATTTGCCGGGATTACATTTTCGATCGAACTATAAAATTTCAGCATCTTATTCACTAAGCTACTAGTGGGCATTTAGTACTTTGATCTATGAGAATGAACATAAAAACCTCAAACAATAATGAATATACTGTTTGTTTGATGTTATTATACAATTTAAACGTACCAGATATATAGCTTAAATTAATATGATACTTTATCTTACTTTTAGAGTAAGTAAAGTAATATATCTAGATTAAAATTTCAAAGATATACCAGAATATTAACTATAGTAAGTGAGAAGAACTTATTCTCTAAACTAACGTTTGCTATAAGAAAGAACTTTCTAGCAGACGTTTTCTAATTGAATACATATACTTTTTGCAAAAGAATACATAAAACAGGAAAACGAGAGAAATAGAAATTATTTTACCATTGCCGAGCTATAACTTGTTGTTGCATTTCTAACTCTTTATCACATATATATATGTCATATTCTATTTATTGTTTATCTCTGAATTCACAATTATGTATATTAGTTTAGATGTATAAAATCGAAATACTCTTCTTCATTAGTTAATTCAATCTACATAATTTTAACTCTGCATTTTCGCGAAAGATTCATGCATCTGTAAGAAATGTATTTCTAAATTTCAAATTAGAGTTTAATTTTTAAGGTTTATTATGTGTTTATAAAAATAAATACTTTTCAATTAAAAAATATTTTAAGCTGGGAACATTTCCTTTCAGTTTTCCGTTCAACATCAGCACTTTTGAAACAAAAGGTGTTTTTTACTTCGGATTCTAATTTGTAATTATCAATTTTTTTTCTAAACATTTTCCTGAGGTAACTTTTTGTAAGTTAAATTATTTAATTCTTTATTGTTTAAATGCAAAAGACAAATGGACGTAAAGGTTAATATGTGAACAAAAGGAAAAACTAACTGCTAGTAAAATGTAGATGTCCTTAAAATAATACAAAGAAATAAAAAAAAAAAAAAAAAAAAAAAAAAAAAAAGAAAAGAAAAAAAAGAAAAAAAGAAAAGGAAAAAAAAAGAGAGAAAAAACTTAAATGAATGCATTTAGAATTAAAATTAATTTTTTTTAACACACACCATTCCCTTAAAGAAATATAGAACTACATTTTAATTTGTTTAAATTAGAGCATTATCCCTTTTGAAGAGATCAAAGAAATTCTTTAGAAACGTATATGAGATTTGCTTTCAACGATCTTTGGGAAGAAAAAAAATTGTAATGAAAAAATTCCAATAAAAAAGAAAGGATTTGCACTCTTAATATCTGAAGCGTGTTTGTGCACGTAATTCATGAGTGACGCTTTAAAAATGTATTATTTCCAAAGTAAAATCTGAAGAAGGTGAAGACCAATTAACTCCTATCTTACAGCATGTTTTTATTTCAGAAGACCTTATCGATTTTTCTTTTTTATTTGAGAAATGCCATGAATTTATGTTAATGGCATTTCATTAGCAAAAGAAAATTCTAACGATTCATTGCATTATTGCAATTACTGTGTCTCTTCATGTGGTTATAAAGCTGAAAATGAATACAGGATTTAAAAAATCATTTGTGCTGATCATTAAGGAAAAGAATTCTCCCCCCTCCAGTCTCTGTTTTTTATTTCACAACGAGATCACAATTAAACAAGGCATATTTAAAGTTCTTGGTAGAAAGCATTATTGAATGAATTTAATGCGAGCTATTTTATATTCCCATTATTCATACCACTCTTCAAATTAGAAAATAATAACATGATTTTATTCCAAAATTTTGATTATATAGTTAAACATGGTAACACAGGTTTTTAGCGCACTATTATACAGTTTAAAATTGTTTAGTTTCAAATCAAGCATATCAAATAATGGAGCTAAAGTTTACATTCAAATTATAAACTACTTTTTCTCCAGTATCTGAACCCGATGAAAACAAATAATTAATATATATACTGAGCTTTAGATACATACATTGAAACAACCAACTAAAAATGCTACAATTTTATCTTCATTCAAACTGAGACCTGAAAATATATGAATGTACAAACTAGTACATACTACTTGTGTTATTACATGTTTTCGTGTATATACTATTTTCAGTACATTATATGAGAAGATCACAAATTTGCATTTCAGAAATTCAATTAAACAGCTTTTAGAAGATTGAAACATTTAATAAATTAAGCAATAAAATTTATGTTATAAATTTTTAAGTTTCTTTAATAACTTGTTTGTTGAATAGAATTCATCAAAATCTTAATTAACATTAATTAATTTATTCAGCTGTTTATTAAAAAAGATAGAGGAAGGGAAATTGTCTTCCGTGATTTTGAAGCATTTTAATGATAAACTTTATTAGCCCAAAGGGTAAATTTGCCCAGAGGAAATATTAATTTTGTTTTGGCATTTTGCGTTGATTCACTATAAACGGCGACTAACGTTTATATTTTATAATACTTTCCTTAATACTGGAACAACATGTCCAGCTGCGGTAAGATAGCTTCCCCGCAAGGCGGGTTTAAGATTGCCAGAAAATAGCAAGGGAATGCAGGGTTGCCATATTTGAGGCGAAATAGCCTATTTGGCTATAAAATTGGCGATATGCATGGACGGATGGAGAACCTTCTAGAGCGAATTCTTACCGGTCTGGCCCAGAATGTTCTCCAAAGCAACCCAAAAGCTATATAAACCCTGCCTGTGCGCGGAGTGTCTCGCAGTCTACCGTCGAGTTGATCGTCAGTCTAGTGTCGATTGTATAGGGCATGGAGGTAGGAAGTAAGAGGAGAGACCTTAACCGGTTTTCCCTATTCACTACTTTGAAGCAGTGGCGATCCCTTCATGGAGACCAAAACATTCAGTGACTTACCATTAAGATCAATGCGTTTCGACATGATTGGATGTAAGCATTTTGTAATTACCTGGTGAATTCGTAAATATATGTAAAAATACCTCTAGTTTCTTTTTCTACAATATTCCTAAGTATGTGAAAAGAATGCATTTCTAAACTACATTTCATTCTGAACGGAATTAAATAGTATAATTTATCCAGAATAGTTTGCTCAGTTTGAATGAAAAATTTTCAGAAGTTTACATTATTACATCAGAAAAAAATAATTCGATTTTATTCGGTTAAGGGTTAAAAAAAATAGATCAAAGTTGATTATATTTTTTATATTAAAATTACGCATTATTTCTTTTCTATCTACGGAGCTTCTTCTTAAAATACTTTCTCAAATATGAGATGATTTTTTAACTTCTGAAGCATCTTTTAAATCGAAAATCTGAGTCAATTTATAATTAGTGCTCTGTTCGGTTCATTTCAAGTTAGAGTATCTTTTATTTTTAATAGTGAAATACATTAAATAT